AAATGCCTCTTTAATTCCTGTCATGTCTGAGAAATGAGGGGTATGAAGATAAGAGTGATGCTACTTTTCTTGGACCCGAAGGTTCCCTACGTACACTTCATTCTGATCACCTTTTTCTTTCTTCTAACAGATCACCTTACTGCCACTTTCTATATTTATATATGCTCTTCCCTCTGATCTGTACAGATGTACAAAGGACATGCATGCTCCCTTCTCCCTAGCTTTCTGAGTTTCTGTTCCCCACTGCTTTAAGATATTTCTGAATCGACCATAGCTAGGACAGTTCTTTAATTGATAAAAGTGAAACCATCTTCTGTTTACAATAACAATCATTTTTGTTACAAACCAATACGACAAAAATTTATATGTAAGTGTACAATGTAGTACATAACTTTATTTTATGTGCTAATGTTCTTACAAGTACTAAAGAACTTTCATGTCTGCCGTAGATGCTAAAATCCACCAGTTAAATATATATACAGTGGAACATGCCCAAGTCACATTTAATTTGGCTACTAAAACTATACTTTAATATTCATAGCGGTTAATGTGGAACTTTATTTGCACGTCCAACAACGAAAATTTAACTGCTAGCCACAAAAAAAATTGTGGAACCGTTTGGATAACTATTCTTAGAAAATTTCAAACTTTAATAAAAGAAAGGATAAGAACTAAGCTATGCCATTAGATTGTGGAAAGCGGCCTTCCCTTTTCTTCTCTTGTCAATCAAGAATATGACTAATTGAGGAGAGGGGGGAAGAGAGGAGAATTATTCAAATTAGGGTTTGGTTGATGATATAGACATTGTGGTGAAACTTTGGCTGTTGATCATCAGTAACAACTGTTCTGATACTTGAAAGTGACCAGATTCCTAAATACTGATCAAGTCAAAATATATGACATTTGCGTTGTTTGGCTAAATCATTTGTATTTCTCCTTTTGAATATGCATTGCACCTTTAAAGAGAAGCAACAATATTTATTGTTAGATTTTGGAGATAGATCATGATGGAACTGTGTTGATGAGACAATAATGCAATGATCTAATAAAAGATTTCAATGTTATCCATGTCCATGGCAGGATTAAATGGATCTTTACTATTAAAATCACAGATAATAAGATATGTCTAAAGAAAAATGGCTAAAAGCAATTGAGTCTTGTACTAATTATACGAGCACGTTATGTCTTTAAACATAAGTAAAGGCATCCACTTTTCATGCTATTTTAAAATCTGTAGCCAACTCTCTTTAATTATCTTTAACAATTATTTTGGATAAAGCAACATATATTTAAAGAATTGCCTATTGATTTATTCCTTCCTTTTTTTCAATCTTCAGTTCGTTTTATTGCACTTGATGTCTTGATCACTCCCTTCATAAAAACAGTGGACCTAAACTTGCTAAAAACAATAATAACCAAAAAAATAAAAATAAAAAAAGACACGGGCATAAACTTCTGAAAAGAAAACCAATGTGAGTAAAAGTTTTCGACTTATATTCATACTAGTCTTTGGCCACGTGCTTTGCGCGTATACCCTTATCAGTGAATATAAAATTTAAAAAATGACATAGATATTAGTTATAAAATAATCATATAAAATTTTAATAATTCTACACTCTTGAAATAGATTATAGCTATTTGTCTTAGTTTAAAAATAATACGACAGATCACAAATAAACATCAATAGGAAAAAATAATATAAACAAATATAGTGCTTGGAATCCTGCCCTATATGTGAAGTCCTTTGGATATTTCATTCCATATTGTAATTTAGTTTTATGATTTTTTGTATGTTTTTGTGTAGAAGTTCGAACCAATAGGCAAAATATGTTGGCTTATATGTAATTCTAAAATTTGTATCGATTAAGATCAACGGGTGAATTCAAATAAGTGGAAGTTTAAAATGAAACTTATTGCCAAAGTGCTTCATAATATTGCAGAAAAAAAATGTAAAAGGAATTTTACCAACTAATTAAAAATATTTTAATAGAGGCAAATTTTCCCAAAAATATGAGTACTAATTAATAAGTGTACAGCATTATCATAAAGAGCTTGCAAAAACGCATCAAGTTATAGGACGATTACCTTTTGGAATTATAGTGTTTGAAGGTAAACATCCTTATTTAAAAATCCAAAATTTACTGATAGATTCACGCTACATATAATTCTGCAGAAAATATTTTTTTCAAAGTATTCAATATTTGAGAAGCAAGATTTGGTCAAAGTATCACCCTTGAAAAACTTAATATACCCGAAATTACCACAATAAATCAATGACATTGCAAAATATTTGAATTATAATCCACAAAGAATCAATAATATTTTACATAGTCCCAAAATAAACCTTGTAAGATGAAGCAAAAGGATTAGTCATAACTGTTGGCAAAGTGGGGGTAGATAATGGAGTTCTAAGAGAAAAAGATAGTCAGCTATGTCTTTTGTCTAAATTATAAGACATAATTGGCAAAGTCTTTTGCAACAACAACAACTCAGTATAATCCCANCAACAACAACAACAACAACAACAACAACAACCCAGTATAATCCCACAAGTGGGGTCTGGGGAGGGTAATATGTACGCAGGCCTTACCTCTACCCCGAGAGGCAGGNAATCTTATCCTTCCTTGTATGCCCGCACATCCACCTCAACATCCTCATCTCTGCAACTTTCATCCTCTGGATGTGTGAGATCTTCACCGGCCAACACTCGGTCCCATACAACATAGCAGGCCTAACCACTGCCCTATAAAATTTACCTTTCAGTAACAGTGGCACTTTCTTGTCACACAGGACTCCCGTCGCTAACCTCCATTTCATCCACCCCACCCCTATACGGTGTGTGACATCCTCGTCGATCTCCCCGGACTCCTGAATAAACGACCCCAGGTACTTGAAACTACCCCTCTTAGGGATGACTTAAAGCCTCACTTCCACTACCCTTCCGTCGGTTCTGCCCCAAATTTGCACTCAAGGTATTCCGTCTTCGTCCTGCTCAACCTGAAACCTTTGGACTCAAGGGTGTGTCTCCAAACCTCTAACCTCTCGCTGACGCCGCGTCGTGTCTCGTCGATTAGAACTATGTCATCAGCAAATAGCATGCACCATGGCACCTCCCCCTGAATATGATGTGTTATAGCATCCATCACCAGGGCAAATAGGAAAGGGCTGAACGCAGACCCTTGGTGCAACCCCGTAATAACCGGAAAATAATCTGAATCGCCTCTTGTTGTCCTAACCCGAGTCTTAGCTCCATCATAAATGTCCTTAATCGCCCTAATGTAGGCAACTGGGACCCCTTTAGCCTCTAAGCATCTCCATAAGACCTCCTTAGGAACCCTGTCGTACGCTTTCTCTAGATCGATAAACACCATGTGGAGATCCTTCTTCTTATCCCTGTATTGTTCCATCATCCTCCTAATAAGGTGGATAGCTTCTGTGGTAGATCGCCCCGGCATGAACCCGAACTGGTTGTCTGAAATAGACACCGTCCTTCGCACTCTCATTTTTACCACTCTCTCCTAGACTTTCATGGTATGACTTAGTAATTTAATACCCCTATAGTTGTTACAGATCTGGATATCGCCTTTGTTCTTATACAACGGGACCATTGTACTCCACCTCCACTCTTCGGGCATCCTATTAGTCTTGGATATAACATTAAGCAACTTAGTAAGCCATCCCAAGCCTGCTCTACCCACACACCTCCAAAGCTCAACCGGAATTTCATCTGGTCCGGTAGCTCTGCCCTTTCTCATCTTACGCATTGCCTCCATGACCTCATCGACCTCAATGTCCCGACAATCACTTAGTTCATGGGGGCTGTCGGCGTTCCTCAATTCACCTAGTACAATATCCTGATCCCCTTCCTCATTTAGAAGTTTATGAAAGTAGGTCTTTTGCCTTGAATTATAATACATTAATGTGTATTAATAAACATAAATTTGGGAAGTGGAAGAGAACCAAACTGTTTTTGTTAATATTGCGTAAATGACAGGTTCAAATTTAATTTCATGTGCTTGAAGAATTCAGAACTTATTAATTACCCAAGTAAACTTTTTTTGCTTATTGTTTTTATTAGAATATGGATTTACATGTTTGTACAAAAATGTTTCTAAAGTAATATTTAGTTTAAGGACAAAATGGTCATTGAATTTTACATGACCATTTTAATCTTTTAATTTTGACATAGAGTCTTCACACTTATAATATAGTATGATGATGATTTAAAAGCAATATATAAAATTTCCGGTAGTGTTAAAGGGGTGATAGATAGGCACCAAGAATAGGATTTAACAAAAAGAAAAAAGAACTCAAGGCAATAAAATTGGTGCTTGAGTTAAAAGTAAAGTATCTTATGCATTAATCATAAAATTGAATTAGAAGATTTCCACTACCACAAAGGTAGGAACTATTAAGTCAGTGACAGTTAGATATTATATAGACAAATAACGTGTGTGTTACTGCAAAACTGACTATATAGATTTATCACAACTACTATCATTATGTGAGTGAGTTGATTTTACTTCCTGAGTTTGTTAAAATTTAAAATATAAATGAAAATATTATACGTTCATTTTCAATTAGTATTATTTAAATAAATAAATATCTTTAATATTTTATATGAGAAACTTTAACTAAATTTATAAAACTACAAAATACATTCAAAAAGAAATAACTAAATGAAATTAAGGCGGTTTCATATATTAAATATAATTCTTATAATGATATTTTATTTTAAGTAAATTAATACTTCTAAAGAAGTAAAGTGGTAAGCTACAAATTTAAGATTCATCTTCACAACGTAAAAATTGCTTCTGCTTGGCGTTCGGTTGAGAAAAAAAAAACTTCTAAATCATTTTAAAGCAAAATTAAGTAGAAAAAAAAAAGGGAAGAAATACAGGAACCATAAGAAAACCCGAACCATTCGGCTCGGAATGAGGTTCGGCAGGTAGTTTCTTACACCTAAACTGAGTGTGTGCGTGTGAGAGGAGCAAAAAGCGAAGGTGGCCATGGTGATGGCGCGCGGAGGGGAGAGGAGAGGAGAGAGTCTACGTACAGGAAAAAATAAAAAGGAATTAAAAATAAATAAATTTCATTGACCCCAAAAAAAGAAAAGATCAAACCCAGTTTCATCATCATTGTTTTCCTCCTATAACTTCCCCTCCATTTTGTTGTCGTTCTTGTTTCTTCCCCAATTAAGATCCTCTCACCAAAAAACCCTGCCATCCTTCTCTTCTCTCTGTATATACATACAATCCGTACATATAATGCAGAGATAAGTACATTTTTTTTTATTGAACATAGTTTTTCATCATCCAACGAAAACTCCCCAATTTTGTTGATTTTTTAATTGTTCTGGGGCAATGGCAATGGAGGAGGGGATTCTAGCAATATCTGTGGCATCAGTGGTGGAGGATGTTTTGCAACAACACGGGAAGCGACTGAGCGACATTGATTTGGCTTCTCGCAAAGCTGAGGAAGCTTGTAATTTCCCTTTATTATCCTTCCTTTCTTTGATCATTTACGCTTTCTCGTTTATGTGTTAATGAATCTTCCTTTATTTCACACTGTTGATCTTTTTAATCAATTTGTCATGTTTCTGTGAATCAATTAATGCATTATATTGAAATTAAGTGCCTCGTCTGTTGGAAGTAGTTGTTATTAATGCATATTATTTGAGATGAACCTAATTTCGCTATTACTACATTGTTTGTCTATTTAATGTGCATTTCCAAGATTCTCGGTCTTTTGAATTTCCCATCAATCATGAAACAGGAAAAGGAAGGGAAAAAAAGAAAAGAAAATTGTTCCCATTCTCCCACCTGAATATGTTCGTTTTTGTTTCAAATATATCTTGATTTTGAAATGAGAACAAATGCAGCATTGAGAAGATATGAAGCAGCAGGGTGGCTCAGAAAGACAGTCGGAGTGGTTGCGGCTAAAGATTTGCCGGCGGAGCCTTCAGAAGAAGATTTCAGACTTGGATTGCGCAGTGGAATTGTGCTTTGCAATGTTCTTAATAAAATTCAGCCCGGTGCCGTGCAAAAAGTGGGGGTTTATGAAGCTCCTTTGGTTCAACATTTTATCTATAATCAGTTTCAGCTAGTCATTGACCTAGTTCTACTTTGGTTTATTAGGTAGTTGAAGCACCTCCTGATTCTGTTAATGTCCCTGATGGGGCAGCTCTTTCTGCGTACCAATATTTTGAAAATGTCCGCAACTTCCTTGTAGCGGTTGAAGAAATGGGGCTTGCCTCTTTCGAAGCATCTGATTTGGAGAAAGTAAGTAGATGATTTGTGGATAATTTGATGTTTGTTTGATCTTGTGTTAGTTATGCTCTAAGCTAGTTGATCGAACACCTAAAGACACCTCTTGAACCAAAGTTTGAAATGTTCTATCATTTCCTGAATTAGGGAGGGAAATCTTCCAGAATTGTCAATTGTGTGCTAGCACTGAAATCATATGCAGAGTGGAAACAAGGAGGTGGAAGTGGATCATGGAAATACAGTGGGAACTCAAAACCATCATCGGCAGGAAAGCAATTTTTCCGAAGAAATTCTGAGCCATTCATGAATTCAATCTCAAGGACTTCATCTATCAGCGACAAGTCTCTTGATAGCACTGAGCCTGATGCTCGTGAAATGGTTTGTAATCTTATTTTGTAATGTTTGGCATCTCAAAATATGTTGAACGAGGTAAATATCTTAATCTTTCATTTCCAGGTGAACACAGGGTCCTTGCATATGCTTGTTCGCGAGCTTCTCTCTGACAAGAAGCAAGAAGATGTTCCATTTGTAAGTGATCTTAGCTTGATTTCCACAATCTTGGAAAAGGGATTCCACAGAAGGGTTTGATATGTTTCATGTAAAAAGCTCTTTGTCTCATTACTGCTACTTCATTCAGTTGCTAGGGATTATGAATGATAATCATTTTTTTTCCCGATAAGGTGAATGATAATCATCTTTCTAAATGTGATTCCCAATAGACAGCTCTGATGACAATTAATCTGCCATATAGAGAAATACGCTAATCTTCACAACAGGGTCCACGTAATTAGTTTACTTCTCTAGCTTCCCTCAGAGGGTAAAGGCTTAGTAAGGACAGTAAATCTAGTCTATAAGATTTGATGTTTGCATGGATAGTTAGAAAGAGGCATCACCCAAGAAATATAGAGTACAACAGATGCCATCATTCCGTTGTTGTAGCAAACTACAATACTAGGTTATCTTATTCCTACAATCAGATTCTCCCAAAGTTCTAGAAAATGTCTCTGGAGAGGAACATAGACTTGGAACTTTGGGATCAAGCAGGCTTCTTCCTCTAGTATCCTATTGGTTATAGAGTTCTTTGAAAAAATAGTTGATGGTCCGCTTACCTGAAATAAACAAGTTTCTCATTTTGGACAGATTGTGGAGAATATGTTGAGCAAAGTTATGGAAGAATTTGAGCATCGGCTAGCCAGCCAAAGTGAACAGGTTGGAGCTCCTTCGTTACTGGTGTTTTTTGTTTTACTACATATTGTATGAGGCTTCTTCTTCCCAACTTCTTGTTTTCTTACCTGCATCTGAAATATGATAGAACAGATTGCTCTTTTTAGCAGTTGAAATATGATGAAAGTATCACACTGTCCTATTTTGCTTACAGTTGGGTCTTACATATTTTCGGTGATATGACAGTTGAAGACCTCCCATAAAGAGACAGCTGTTTCAACTACCGATGGATCTCCCTTGGAGCTTACACGTGAGGAGACGCAGGTCGCAATGGTCAAGGATGAAGAAAAAGCAGCCTCTGAAGGGACATGCGACAGGATAAACATAAATGATGGTGTATCAACAACACAGGTTGTAAAGCAGCTTATGCTGGTTGAACAACAGCATAGAGAAGTACAGGTATAGGAGTTCTTCTGCAAATCAGAGAATGAAGTATGTTTGGGTTCAACTGATTGATTGATATACCCTGTTCATAATCTGTAGCAATTGAAATCTACTCTCCATGCTGCTAAAGTAGACATGCAGTTTCTTCAACTGAAATATCAGGAGGAAGTCAGCAATCTAGGTACAACTGAATAGAACTGGTTCATGCTAATTGAGATTGTGACTGGGATTTAGCAACTAAATTCTCTTTTGAAAAGGTAAACATCTGCATGGTTTAGCTCACGCTGCTTCGAGTTACCAAAAGGTTCTGGAGGAAAATCGAAAGCTTTACAATCAAGTGCAAGACCTTAAAGGTAAACACTGTTTTATAGAATAAGCTCTAATTTCATTGCAATCTGCTGGTAGATACTAACCACTGTTCTGCGTGTACATTTACATATTTGGACAGGGAACATCAGAGTGTATTGCCGGGTGCGACCATTCTTGCCTGGCCAACAAAACGGTCTAAGCACTGTGGATCACATAGATGACGAGAATATTACAATAACTACTCCTTCAAAGTATGGAAAAGAGGGAAAGAAATTATTCACTTTTAACAAGGTCTTTGGTCCTTCTGCAACCCAAGGTCGCTAAGTTCCTTATACTTTTCCTTTTTCATGAACATCACAGCTTTAGATTTCATTCTAACAGTCTCTATTTATCACAATGCAGCGAAAGTGTTTGCAGATACACAGCCTTTGATCCGGTCTGTTCTTGATGGCTTCAATGTTTGTATCTTTGCTTACGGACAAACAGGATCAGGGAAAACACATACGATGGTTAGGCAGTTACTAATTTTCGAACTGTTTAATCATAGAAGTGGATATCACTTGGTTAAGAGAAAAGGCAAAAACATTATGTTAATTGTTCCTAAATTTTTTTACCTACAGACTGGCCCATCAGATCTCACGAAGGAGACCCTTGGTGTGAATTACAGGGCATTGAGTGATCTATTCCTTATCTCAGAACAGAGAAGAGATGTTATTTCTTATGATATTTCAGTTCAGATGGTTGAGATTTATAATGAGCAAGTCAGAGATCTCCTTACCCCAGATGGTGTTAACAAAAAATATCCTTTGTGCAACCATTCATTCCTTTGCCTTTTCATATTACTATTAGCTCTCTATCTTTTTGGTCTCTTAAATGTTTGAACTTAACTTCTAAATACAGTAGAAATTCGTAATAGTTCCCAGAAGGGTTTCAATGTACCTGATGCAAATCTTGTTCCGGTAACATCAACTTCTGATGTAATGAATCTGATGAACCTTGGGCACAAGAATCGTGCAGTGAGTGCTACTGCCATGAACGACAGAAGTAGTCGCTCTCACAGGTGCTCCTTATATGTCCTTTTTCTATTTTCCTGTCTTAAGGTGGAAGTTACTGTTGATTTAAGTTCCTTTGCTCTGTATATAAATATTTATGTTTGCATATTTGCAGTTGCCTTACAGTTCATGTTCAAGGAAGAAACATGACATCTGGTGCAATTCTTCGTGGTT